TAACTGGACGAATAACACTCGCTGTTGGGTGGTGTCAGTTCTCCAAAGGTGCAACCCAACACCCCGTAAAAGCGTTTACTTTTTGTTCGAGAAGTAAAGGTTTATGGGTGCCTGCTTCTGGGAATTATTTTGTAACATGGAGAAAATGTTAAACACTGTTTTGGATGCGTTTTCGTTTCCTTTTTGCGCATGTATCAGTTGAGTCACGAAAACAGGTTGACCGCTTTGCCTTCTTACTTTGTCTAACAGTAGCATTTCTGGCTACTCTGTCATAAAATTAACAATAACATTTCGTTTTAGTGCACTTTTGAACCGACTTTTTCACTTTTTTTGTTGAACTTGCACTTTCAGCTGTTATTTTGTACACCTTCTGTAGATGAATTTTTGCGTCCTTTTAGTTATTCACTGCATCTTGTGAGTTCCTTTCAGTACTCTGTGCATTATTTGTTTTTGGCTCTGTGAACTCCTTCCAGTGTTTTTTGTTCTTACACCCTGACTTCTGCCATGTATCAAAAAATCTGTACCCTGTCCAAGTAATTTTTCTTCAGTTCATTTTTCCACATTTTCTCTCTCTACATTTACTTTCGCAGCATAACCTATCGCCTCTCCTCCCCCTCGATGAAGGGCTGGGCCCTCTCTTTCCTTGCTGTACAACTAATGTTTTGTCTAAGTCTATTATTCGTTGTTAAAAAAAAATTTTTTTTTATTACGCACACCTTCAAATGCGATGATATATTCTCGATTTTGATTGCTCACCATTCTTCTTCAGATCTCGACAGGCGATTCCGGTCCTGACAGATCTCGATAGCTTCCTCGTTGTAATGGTGTGCTTTAAAAGTGATGCTTTTGTTCATTCATTTGGACCAGTAAAGCATCCGGTTTTATTCACTTTGCCTTTGACTAAGCCATCAAAACCTCTTCAACACAGTGTAGAAAAGGTCCAGGTTTTTGTACGCTTCGACTATCGCAAAAAACCTTGCTTCGATTCCGAAATTTTCTGGACGGTGCAAGCCGTTGTCGTCGTGCTGACATTGTTGTATAGGTCAGAGTTCAGCTGTCCACCAGTTGCTGAGAAATGCTGGAAGGTTGCAACATCTGTCTCAGAGCATCACGTCTGATGGAGTGGAGGTATTACAGTATTGAAAATGCTGCGAGAGAGACGGGTGATGCATCCTACCAGAAGTATTGCTCGCTTCTTTTGCTGGGAGTTCAGCGCAGAATCAGGCAGTCGCTCGTTTTCGCTTTTGGGTTGCATGTACTCCGGTCAGTTGAGTACTTGTTGAAAATGCTGCAGTTGGGCTCTGCGAAGAAGCACAACAGGATGCCCTCGGTTTTTGCAGCTGCCGCAGATGGAGGTATTTTTGGATTTATCATTTTGCTTTTGATGTGCATCAGGGACAGGGATTTGAAGTGGGCCACTGGCCGAGAAACAGGCGGATGGATGAAAGATAGCAGCCGTAACAAACACCAGGAACCGTGTGACGTATTCCGGAAGCTCGTCACAATCCACGGCTGTCAGGGAGTTGAGTGACTTGCGTGTGATGAGTGGGCAAAGGCGTGAAGAGGCCGGCGGTACCGAGAAAAAGGTAAACACAGCGATGAAGCAGCGAGTTGATACCGATGATTGCTGGAGCAGGGGGCGATTTTTTGCAGCGATGTATAAAGGAAGTTGTGGGGGTCGCGAATCGCTGTGATCGGCACTCTCGACGAAGACCTTGAAAGGGCGGCCAACCTGTGTTTCCTCCTTTGAACACTGTCCCCAATCGTTCCTGTATGTGGTTGTCACTGCTTCTGTTCCTGCACAACGTTGTCAGCGGTGCGCGCGCAACTGTACGCCAATGCTGCCAGGAGCACGGAGTGTCCGAGACGTGTGCGCGCATGTTGTGCAATCCGCAAAATCCGCCAAACGATTTTGACGTGTACAATATATTTGAGCGAAAGATCAACTGCCTGCCATTTCTGGATGCGATATCCGAATGCCTGGCTGATGGTCGCGATCACATTCACTGCTGTCTGAGTGAAGCCAAAGACCGTGACGAGAATGCATGCTTTGGCATGTGCCGTGGCGAGGGCACCGACGGAGTGGCTGCCTGGGACAAGTACCAGACCTGCCTGGCCATCAATCTACAGCCAATGTTTCGCTGCTTCGAACGAGGCTATCTGAACTCACCGACGTCTCCGCAGTCTGTCCACGTTGTGTCCAGGAGTGCAGATAGTGTTCTTCTCGCGTGGTCACCGCCGGCCATTAATTCCGAGCTTGCTGAGTCGTACCAGGTGGTTTGCAAGGAAGCGGACGATAGTGGCTCCAGCGAGAAGATTATCAATACTCGTGGCTATAAAGTAACG